CTCCCATACAACACTGAGCAAGAGGCTGGAGGTCAGTCAAGTGGTGGCAATGATACCAAGGCCTACAAGAATAGAACTGTTAGTTGTGGGAGACTTTACAATGTGTTGGATCAAAATACATGTATGTCACAAAGACCCATGGACTTGTCAGGTTTACTTTCTCCATGGAAGTCAGATTAGTGAAGGACTGCCAAGGCTCATAAAGCCCACTGAGATGCATCCCTTCTGTCTTACACATGCAGGAACAAATGGCATTGGCAAGTGAAGCTTTGAGAGAATCATGTCTGAAGATGTATAGAGGAAAGCCAAAAACTTCAGTGCCCAGATATGTTTCGCTTCTATTCTTCCAGTTCTTCGAAGAGGAATAGACAGGGAAAGAAAAATACTCCAAGTGAATGCTTGGATACGAAGATGTTACCAGTGTGAGAAATTCGGATTCTAGGTCTACAGGCTGTTTCCTTGAAGATGGACTGCTGGTAAGGGATGAGTTGTACCTTACAAGGACTGGAAAGGATGTGTTTGGCCACAGCATGAAGAGTTCCTATCAGGAGGGCTTCAAACTGAATCCTACAGGGAAGAGAGAAGTATACCTGGGCGTAACAACATACGCACTGCACTGCAGCAAAGAGAGCAACTCTAACAATGGTTTTTTCTTCTTCTTTTAATTGTTATATTATTATTATTTTTGTATGTTTTATGTATTCTTTGTGAGCCGCCCCGAGGCTTTGTTGTGATGGAGGCGGCATAGAAATATTTTAAATAAATAGCAATGCCCAATAATGGTCTCAGAAATGTAGAAAAAAGCTAGAGTATAAAGCACATGATCTTCAATGTCTATATATTAATGCCTGGAGTATGGGAAATATACAGCATGAACAGGAGGGGGAATATGACCTTAGAGGTATAATTGAAATTTGGTGGGATGACTCCTATGACTGGAATTCAACAGTTGAAGGATATAGCCTGTTCAAGAAGAACAGAAGTAACAGAAAGAGAAGCTGAGTCTCGTTATATACTAAAGATACTTATCTCTGAACAGAAGGATGAGCTTAGTAGCCTCATTGAGTGCATCTAGATTTATATAAATGGAGAAAGGCATAAAGAAGCACAGTGGTTCATGGCCACCCAGTCAAGGAGAAGACAATGATGAAACTTCTGAAAAGAAATTCATTATGGAGGACTTCAATTTCCCCAATATCTGTTGGTAAACAAATTCTGCCAAACACAGGCCATCCGAGATATTCCTAACATGTTGCAAATAATTTCCTCCTACAGAAAATTAGGAACTAGAGGATCAGCCATTCTTGACTTGATACTAACCAACAGGGAAGACCTAGTGCACAAAGTTCCACTACAGGAACTCTGGGGGAACGTGACCATGCTATTCTTGAATTCTTGATTCTAAAGGAAACAAAAGCCAAATGTAGCCAAGCATGTACCCTGGACAGACAATTTCACAAAACACAGAACAGTGATAAATAAGACCCATGGCAAGTGACTCTAATGAGAAAAGGAATCTAAGACAGGTAGGATTTTTTCAAAAAATGAAATCCTAAAGGTAGAACTACACAGAAGAGGAAAAGACCACAGAAGAAATCCATGTGGCTTCACAAAAAGCTTAGAGAAGATCTGAAAACAAACAAACAAGCAAACAAACAAAAATGATATGTATAAGAAGCGGAAAGGAAGAATACAGGCAGGTATTGTGGACTTGTAGGGATGGCAACAGGAAGGCTAAAGCTAGGAATGAACTGAGGCTAGTAATTGATGCTAAAAGCAACAAAAAAAGCCTTCAGAAAAGAGAGAGGAAAGAAATGGAGGTTCAGCTACTCAAAGTGGATGGCAAAATGACAACAAAGAAAAGGCAGAAGTGTACAATTCCTGCTTTGGCTCAGTCTTCTCGCAAAAAATCTATGACCTTCCTTGATGAAGGGGAAGTACAAATTGAAGAAACAGGACAGAAGCTCAAGATTGACAGGAAAATGGTCCTCTTTACTTGGCACTGGTTAGGCCTCATTTGGAGTCCTGTGTCCAGTTCTGGGCACCACATTTTGCGAAAGATGTGTTTAGAGGAGTGGAAGGATGATCCGGGGAGTGGAAACAAAGCCCTATGAAATTAGATGGAAAGAACTGGGCATGCTTAGCCTGGAGAAGAGAAGACTGAGGAGAGAGATGATGGCACTCTTTAAGTGCTATCTGAAAGAAGGACAAAATTTCATTTCAATCATCCCACAGTGCAGGACCTGGAATAATGGGCACACGTTACAAGAAGCCAGATTCTAGCTAGATAGCAGGAAGTTTTTCCCGAGTGTAAGAGCAGTATGGCAATGGAACCAATTCCCTAAGGAGGATGTAGGCATCTGGGCACCCACATGAGAGATATGGTTTAATTTGGAATCCTGTGCCAAGCAGGGGTCAGACCTGATGGCCTTCTTGGCTCCTTCCAACTTTACTGTTGTATGAATCTATAGCGGGCAGAGATTGTCTTAAGTGAAGGTTAGAAGGTCCTCCTTCAGCACTGCAGCCCTCACACACTCTTTGTCCAGTGTGAACTTCCCCCACCCCTAATCATAGTCCACCTCAGTAATGGGTTATACCTGCACAGATGAGAAGAGAGAACTGAGGCAGAGGTGCCCCATCTGGCTCTTGGATCATGGCCCTCCACGGCCGCCAAGCAAAGGAGTCTGGCCTCCCTTTCCTCTTTCTTTGGCCCACAGAAGAGTTCATCCTCAAATGCTTTCTCCTCAAATGGTGAAGAGCTTGCAGCTGACACCAGGGGAGCTTTCTCTGTCATGTCACCCCCATTTCACTCTCTTCCCATAATGCTCCCTGGCCAGAGTTGAGGAGCATGGCGAAGTTTGGTGGAACATCTCCCTTGTCTCCTCCCTCTAAGCCTCCGACAGCCAAGCAGAGAAGCAGCAGAGGCTACTAGGCAGCGCAAGGAGTGAAGGAGCTGTCAGAGCTAGCCCAAGATGCACCTTGCTCAGGAGTGCTCAGCACTCTCACAAGAAGCCAAGGAATATGCCTGTGTCCCAGGGGTCCGTCTGGGATGGGGGCAATGTTGCTGGTGCCCCTTCTCAGCAAGTGCCCTGTGGGAGTTTGCTTCATCCAGAGCCATCTGCTCTAACTTGTCGTTGGGCTGCTTCCCAACCCTCCTGCCTGTGTCTCCTTCCACTGGAGATGCTATTGGGCAGGGGCTCAGAGCCTGCTGCCTGCAGAACAGACACCTTGCCACATGGCTGGGGGTGGGGGGCAGCAGCAGGCTGTGCTGTGCATTCTGCCACTGGGCCACAGTTTGCAGCCCTGTGGGTTCAGCACAGCCTGAGCAGCCATGCTGGACACACATCTTCTGTTTCTGTTCTTGGCAGCTCCAGACATGGCACCCCGGATGGATTAGCAGGGGCTGGGGAGTTCTCAGAGATGTGCCATGTCTCCCCATGCATTTTGAAGCAAGCTTTGCTGCTGGCAGAACCTTTCTCCGGAATGTTTTTCCCCAGAGCTGAAAGCAAGGTGGATGATTTGGCAGTGCTTCGTAGGTGAGAAAGATGATGGGAAAAGCATCTGGAAACATGCAAAAAAGGAGCAAGGCATTTGTGTAGCTCACTTTACATTCACAATCGGATTGCAATCCTCAACCTCAATCCTCAATCCTGGTTAACACCCCTGCCATGTTGCTGTCCTCACATTGTGGATGGAAAGACTGAGAGTACATTCAGGAAGGGCAAGGGCTGGTGGATTCAAAATCCAAAGGCAGTGGGCCAGAGGGTGGCTTCTGCTTAGCCCAAGCTGTTCAGTTGTCATGTTCAACCAGCTGCCAGACCATGGCTCCCAAGAGGCCCAGCTGCAAGGTGCCTGAACAGCATGGGCACTGAAGCTTCCTTAGCCCATACCTAGGGAAGCTCAGTTCAGCATGTCTCACCCCAAAGTAGCTTCTAAGGCTTCCCCAGGCATTTCCCCATGAATCTCTCTGCCCCAGGACAAAGCAGAGACTGGAGCAGCAGAGTCCAGGCATGTTCCTTGCTGCACCTAGCAGGCAGCTTACATGCAGAAGGAGCCCCTGGCCTGGTGTTTCATGCTCCAGAGTGGTGCTCACTGTTGCTCTTCCACACAAGCAGACCAGAGGAACAAGCTGAGAAGCAGGAGGGGCCAGTGAGCTCCAGGCTGGGCCCTGCCCTTCAAGCCACACAGGCCTCCTCGCTGGCCTCAGACCTCCAGCCATCCACAGCACTGCATGTGTGTCTCTGTCTCAGCTGACAAAGGAGACGGGCCAGACTCGCTGCTGCAACAGCCTCTCACACAGCAGACGAGGCCCCGGGATTCACACTCATCCCCAACTTCGACCTCCTGGAATAAGATTGCTGGAGTCATGGAAACGGTCAGAAAGAGGGTTTGACTTTCAACAGAGAAAATGTTAAAGAATGGGGTCACTGTTAAGGACAGCATCTTGAAGTTTTTGATAACCTCAAGATGCATGTCAAGTAATGCCAAGCTCCTTGTTTTCCAAAGCAACCATGTCTATATTCCTTGTGCGCCAAAATGAGATAAATATTCATTGTCACCCAAACTAAGCAAAAGAAGTAAGTCACATTTGTAGTGTAACTGCAGGATAAAGAAGGCATGGCCAAGTTGATCAAGAGTAGTAACCCACTGCATAAAGAGTGTAATCCACTCACATTGTTCTAAATGATGTTAACCTCTTGCATGCAAGAGAGTAAGGCTTTATAGCAGTATTTTTGTGTGGCAAGTACTTTGAAAGGACCTCCAGGCCTGAAACAGAGAGGAAGCTGCAAGTCTCTCCTGGGGCTAATTTTTAAAGTCCCAAGACTCTGGAGAAATCTGCAGCCACATAAGCAACATAATGGCTTCCTTTCTTATTGCACATGTCAGGATCAGAACCATTTTCCTCCCCTGTAAAAGAGTCACCCTGCATGTTCCCTGGGATGTGAGATGTGACCTTGACAACCAGCTTTCCCCACAGAAGCCTCTGAGCCCCTTCCTACCTTGACGCCACGGATTCGGAATTCAGCCAGGGCTCGGCTCATCTTGGAGGCTGCAGTGGGGTGATCTTTGCCATGAGCGATGACTTTCACCAGGAGGGAGTCATAATGTGGGGAAATGACTGCCCCCTGGAAGGCAGAGGCGCTGTCCAGGCGGATCCCCATGCCTTCACCACTCCGGAACACCTAGAAAGGAGAAGAGGTCAGTAATTTTGCTAGTAAGCACTACAGAGTATTGGATGAATTACTGACATTTCTGACAGAGCTGGCTGTTACTGGGCTTATTCTGATTTTTAAATGCTTGTTACAGAATGTCAAGGCTGTGATGTTCACCTTAAATATGAGGCAAGCATTATGGGCATGGAAGTTGCTCCCTGGCTTTGGTTTCATTCTGGGCCAAAAAAGTCAAGTCCTATCTCCAAGGAAAAGTCTATGTTACATTGTGGTTTCTGCAGCCCAGTTTATAGCAGTCACAGCAATGTACCAAGAAAGAACACCTGGGGGGCATCGATGAGAAGGCCTCCCCTCCCTCTGTTCCACTACTGCTGAAGCAGCCAGCTAGCTGGGAAGCAGGCAAGCAGGTTGAAGCCATGCTCTGGAGTCATCCTCCCAGGGGTTGCTTGCAGGTCGTGTTTTTAATGTATTCAGATACTACCCATAAAACATCAATTTGGGGGCAATTTAAATCAATTAGGAGAAAGATCTGAGCTGTGAAGAATATCAATGGTACCTGCTCAGATTGGATGGAGGTAACTAGTGGAGTGACACAGGGTTCAGTCCTGGGCCCAGTGCTCTTCAACAACTTTATTAATGATTTAGATGAGGAAGTACAAGGAAAGATACACAGATTTGCAGATGATACAAAACTGGGTGGAATAGCAAACACCCTAGAAGAGAGAATGAAGATCCTGAGTGATCTTGATAAACTTGAGCACTGGGCTGAAAACAGAATCAAGTTCAATAAGGAGAAGTGGCAAGACCTCCACCTAGGAAAAAGAAACCAAAGGCATTGATACAAGATGGGGAATACGTGGCTTAGCAGAACTGAACAAGAAAAAGATCTTGGAGTAATTGTGGACAATAGGCTAAACATGAGCCAACAATGCGATGCACCTGCCAAAAGGGCAAATGCTATTTTGGTATGCGTTAACAGAAGTATTACTTCCAAATCATGAGTAGTAGTAGTTCCCCTATACTCCTCACTAGTCAGACCTCACCTGGAATACCGTGTCCAGTTCTGGGCACCAAGATTTAAGAAAGATGCAGGTAAATTAGAAAGGGTCCAGCGGAGGGTGACAAATATGATCCAGGGTTTGGAAGCACTGCCCTGTGAGGAGAGACTGAGAGAACTGAGCATGATCAGTCTTGAGAAGAGAAGACTGAGGTGGGACATGATATCCCTCTCTAAGGACCTCAAAGGCTGTCACAAAGAGGAGGGCCAAGATCTCTTCTTGCTGATGCCAGAGTGTAGGATATGGTGTAATCCATGTTGAAACAAACCAGATGGTTGAGACAAACCAGACTCAGGCTGGACATCAGGAAAAGCTTCCTCACTGTCAGAGCAATACGGCAGTGGAACCAGCTGCCTGGAGAGGCGGGGGGCTCTCCCACACTGAAGGCATTCAGAAAGAAACTGGGCAGCCATCTGTATGAGATGGTGCAAATTGGTGTCCTGCAACAGCAGGGGGTTGGACCTTCATGACCCTTTCCAACCACTATTCTATGATCTCCTGAGACAAAAGAAATCAAATACTAAAATTCACGGTCCTCATAATAAAGAGATTAGAAATACCTTATCCTCCCAAAAATATAACAAGTTTTTCTTCAGTCATAGTTTACCATCAAATAGGAACATATTAGGTTGACTCTGCCATAACAATGACTGTGCCCTGGCAAAGTTCTAAGTGGCCAAGTTTTAAACAAAAACAGTAAGTGAGGTAAGTTTTTACTGCTGCTAACTGATCCATAATCATCTTTTTCTATGTACATCCAACTTTTTGGATCTTGGCCAGAGCAGCAGAGGCTGGGAGTGTGTGCTGAGAGTGGCCAGGAAACTGGTGGATGAAAGATAGGAGCCTGGGCAGAGGACTGGGGAGGGGCAGGAGCAGTGGAGGGGAAGGAAGGTGGGGCTAGAGAGGTCAGAGCAGGAGGAAGCAGAGGAGGTGGGGCTAATGGCCTCTGAGGCTTATTAGGCTGCACTCAGCTGTTGGCAGTGCCAACAGTGTCGCGTTAAGGGCAACATGACAGGGGCGTCGTCCCTTGCCTGCGTCCCGTAGCTGTGTCCTGGGTTGCCTGGGGACTCTCTTCCTCTAGGTCATTTATTTTTATTTTTTTTAATTGACTGTTCTATGTCTCTCAGGAACAGCAAGGATACATTTGCAGTCCATGCAAGCAGGTGTCCCTCCTACAGGAGAAGGTGAGGGGTCAGGAGGGTGCCCTCACCTCCCTTTGGGGGATAAGGGAGGGTGAACGATTCCTGGACATGGCTGAGAGATTCAAGCTGCAACAACCCAGACTCAGGCTGGACATCACAAAAAGCTTCCTCACTGTCAGAGTGATACAGCAGTGGAAGCAGGTGCCTGGATAGGTGGGGGGCTCTCCCACACTGGAGGCATTCAGAAAGAAAACTGGGCAGCCTTCGGAGTGGGGGGGTGCCATTGGTGTCCTGCACCAGCAGCGGGGGGTGTGGGTGGACCTGATGGCCTTCTTGGCCACTTCCAATCCATTCTATGATTCCATGATTCTATGAATTCCTACAGACCACCTTCACCCACCCAGGTCTCAGTTACACATGTCAGACCAGCTGCCTCATTCACAGTTAAATCATGGATGAAGGAGGTCTTACACGACATGGCAATTACTACCACTCAACCTGAGTTTCAAATAAGAACTTCTTAAAATTTCAGAAAATGGCTGGGATTGGAGTCAATTTCAGAAAATCAGAAGTAATTTTTTTAAAATACACCTCCAAAGGAACAATCTGCCATGGTGACATGCTTAGGGATGGCTATTCTAACAGTTGATATGTAGGTGTGTTGATCACTAAGAGTTTGAATAAGTAGTGCAGATATTATTATTATTATTATTATTATTATTATTATTATTATTATTATATGATGGGGTGTAGAAATTGATTTCAGCATAGAAACATAGGAGCCTCTTGGGCCATCGAGCCTGACCCCAGTTCCAACCAGCTCTGCTCATGACATGCCCCATAGAGAAATTTAAAAAGCCAGACTCAAGCAACTTAAACAACTAAGACAAGTTACTGCCATCAGCCCTGTTAAAATAGCTCACATCTCCCTCTGTACTCTCTAGAGCAGGGAAGTGTCCTGGCATGGGGGGCCTGGCAGGAGTGCTGACGCCAAGCCAGGAGGCCTCCTCCTCGTTGCTGTCCAGTTGAACTTCCCTCGGAGGCAGCACTCAGAGGAAGCTCTAGAGGTCAAGCACAGTAGCTTACTCAGATGAACAGGTCAGTGTCCTTCCTCTTCACCTGCTTCTCCCTGCCCCTGAAGACGTGTGTGAACTGCAGTGCAACGTTCTCTCCTCAGCAGAACATTTATCTGATCTATACCCCCACCTCTTTTTTTAAAGAACTCAGAGTGGCCCACATCATTCTCCTTCTGCTGCTTTCAGTCTTATCCCTACAACATCAACCTTGAGGCATGCTGGGCTGAGGGCCTGGAATTGGTCCAAAGTCACCTAGCTGGCTCCATGGCTGAACTAAGACTAGAATCATGAACACCTGAGTCCCACCCCACACTCTGAACTATGTACCACACTGGCCCCTTTGACCTTCCTGGAGCCAGTATGAACAACCTCAGCAAAGGTGCAGTACCATCTGCACCCTCCAAAGGCACTAGCCCACAGCGTATCACCAGTGGTTCAAACCAAAGTGATCAGCAGCTGGGAAACAAGACAGGTCCCTTGACAAAGATGGACGATGCCTGTAGAGATGGTCTAAGGGCCAAGCAAACACACTATGAATTCAGTTCAACTGCAGAGCATTTGAGTGTTGAAAGTGTTCCTCATCCAATTTCCCAAGAAATCTCTCCAACAACCATGCAAAGTAGGCCAGCATTATTATACCCTGATTACAGATTGACTGAGGCTTAGAGAGCAGAGCTTGCATAAGGCCACCAGCTGCATCCATGGCAGCAGAACAGAGCAGACATAATGGACATAATGGAAAGCCCTCTGTAGTTGGCCAAAAGAGCCTGCCTAGGAGCCCCTTCCCCTCTGCCTGTCTTGCACCCCCTCCTCACAATGCTGTCTGAAATGGCTGAGAGGACATGGTTATTTATATTTATTTATTTAGTATTAAAAGATTTTCTATGCCATTTGATCAGCCATGGACTCTCTGAAAAGGATGGCAAGAAAAAAGACCATATAAAAACATTACATAATATAAATGAATTTGGTGTCAGATGAGACATCAACAATACTCATCAAAGTTTTGTTTTGTTCCTGGAATATCAGGTGAGCTCAGTGTCCAGTTAAATAAATAAATAGATTTCAATAAATATCAAGCAAGAATTAAAATATAAATGATAATACTAGACATCACCAAAATAATAATCTATAGTAACAACAATGAGAATATACATTAAAAACCAGATGATTTACTGTAACGCACTCTACGTGGGGCCGCCCTTGAAAATGGTCCAGATACATCAGCTGGTTCAGAATAGAGAGGCCAGGTTGCTGACGGGGACCAGTTGTTATTCTCACATGACGGGGTACTCTACCAGCTCCACTGGCTTCCAGTTGAAGTCTGGATCCAATTCAAGGTGCTGGTTTTGACCTACAAGGCCCTGAATGGCTTGGGACCAGGATACCTGAAGGAATGTCTGCTTCCTTATACGCCCTCACGCCCCTTAAGATCTGTGGGAGAGGCCCTGCTCCGAGAACCCTTCCTGAAGGAGGTAAAAAGGACATATACTCGGAGTAGGGCCTTCTCTGTGGTGGTGGCCAGACTGTGGAATGCACTCCCTGGAAAGGTTCGCCTGGAACCAAGCTTATACTCTTTTCAGCACCAGGTTAAATCCTTATTCAATCGTTATTTTAAAAATTAGTATTTTAATGTTTTAACAGTCGCTTTTTATTTAATTTATGTTTACTGGTATGGATTGTTCTATGTATTTTGATTTTAATGATTGTAAGCTGTCCTGAGATGCCATGCATAA